AAAAATAAAATAAAATAGAATCAAACCTGAAACGTTCGGTTAGAAAATCAAGTGCAGGGGCGCCTGGGTGGCTCAGTCGTTAAGTGTCTGCTTTTGGCTCAGGTCATGATCCCGGGGTCCTGGGATCGAGTCCCACAATCGGCTCCCTGCTCGGCGGGAAGCCTGCTTCTCCCTCTCCCACTCCCCCTGCTTGTGTTCCCTCTCTCGCTGTGTCTCTCTGTCAAATAAATAAACAAAATCTTTAAAAAAAAAAAAAAGAAAGCATTAGTGATAGCGCAGTAACCCCTCTCTGCGGCCACGGCTTCAAGGGGGCGGTCTGGCACCTGCAGCAGAGACCCCCGGATAACGGAGGTGGAGCACGTGGCTGAGGAGAGAGGGCAGTCTACGTGCAGCGTGTCGGGAGCTGGACCTACCTCCCCTGCTGCCCCCTGGTGCTCTCTTTCTTGCTCATTCTCACCAGAAGTGCGTTGACGTCAGTGTCCTGCTACACCAGTTCTGTTCCTGGTTATCGTTTTTCCCTTTTCAAAACCTGTTGCTGCCTTGGTGGCATCTTGAGCGGGGAGGAGAGGACCCACCTCAGGACAGAGGCACAGAGGCCATCCTCTGCCCTCTGTGCCCAGCCGGCATTGCGTTGTCCAGCCCGATGCACGGGGACGCGGCTCGCTTCCTTCCATGGGGCACCTACAGGCTTGCTCTCCTCCGGGTCTTTATTTTTGGTTTTCAGTTTTTGTTTCCTTTTTACCTTTCTTTTCTACCATTTTGCTGGACTGTAAATTTCCCGTTTTTCTTTCTTTCTCTGGTTGTTTGGTCGTTTAGATGACAGTTTCCAGTTTGATCTGGCGGTGGTCCTGTTCTGTTGCTGACACAGATTGCGTCGTGTCCTGGTCATGCCTGTGCACCCTCGCCCCCGCCCTTCCCTTCCCCACGGTTTTGCTTCCATGGTGCCTGTGGGGGTCAGGCAGTGAAGGAGAAGCTGTAACCATGTCTGTTCTCCCCAGGCCGAGGCAGAGGCAGCGTGTGTACCCCAAGTGTACATGGCTGACGACCCCGAAGAGCACCTGGCCACGGTACACCAAACCAGGTGAGGGGCTGTGGGGTGTGTGAGGGCACCCTGGCCTGGTGCTGGGGGACCAAGGACCCCCTCTCCCTGCACACACCAGCTGCATGTTTTCTCAAATGGGTTTTCATGAAGCTTTTTTCTACCTTTTTCTTTTTTCCTGTGGATCCTGTATCGTAGGAAGCAATCTAGTTCATTTTCTAAGTGGGATAGTTTATATTTTGTTGCCAACTAGTAAGTCCATGTAACTTAAAGAAAAACAGCAACAGTGCAGAAAGGCTTGGGGTGTGGAGCAAATGCCCCGTGTCTGAGAACCCTTGGGTCATGGGGTCCGACTGGGGCGCCCACCGTCACCATGAAAGGAGCGTGTGACGGCCCTGCCCTGCCCCTGTCCTGTGTCCCTGTTGTCCTGGGACATTGGTGATCCGGCCACACCCATGGGAGAAGAAACCTCTTCATGGGAAAAGCGTAGACAGGATGCTGGTGTGGACCACGCCACGGGCAGTCGGCCCCAGACATCCTGGGAAAGTAGACCCTCTGATGGGGACTCCATGGAGTGTGCACAGAGAGACGCCTCGCCAGGAACAGCGCGAGGGTCCTGACGCTGTACTCTCCACAGGTCTGTCCATGCGGCTGCTGGAGTCCAAGAAGGGCCTCTCCTCCTTTGCGTTCGAGCACAGTGAGGAGTACCAGCAGACACAGCACAAATTCCTGGCTGCCGTGGAGTCCATGGAGCCCAACAACATCGTGGTGCGTGTGTCCCCCTGGAGGGTCCTCGCCCAGCCTGCATCCTCTCCTCAGTAACCCAGGCTGCCCTGGGCCTGGATCACGGGGGCTGAGGGCCCTGGCAAGGTGCTTCTAGGGGCTCGCCTCATGTTCCCAGGGCCCCTTGCTTGTGGGGAGTGGCAGAGGGTGAAGGTGGAGGTCCTGGGGCAGAGTCCCTACTCCCACCAGAGGCCTGGTCAGTGACTCAGCAGCGGTGACGAGCTTGGTGTGAGGTGAGGGTTTTGTGGATGTCACTCTTTGTGACGTTTTCCCAACGTTTCAGTGCCTGAAAGCCCTGTCTGGGGCTGGTGCCTTGCTCCCTGCTGTCCAGGAGGCACGACCTCTAGCCCTATCATCGTTCCCTCTGTGCTCATAGGTTCTGCTCCAGACCAGCCCATACCACGTTGACTCGCTTCTGCAGCTCAGCGATGCTTGTCGCTTTCAGGAGGATCAGGAGATGGCCCGAGACCTTGTGGGTAAGAGCCTCCCTGGGTACGCTGCCCTGCTGTGCCTCAGAGTACCTCTTCGGGAGGAGCGTAGGTGCTGTTTTAAAAGGTGATAGCCAGGACATGGGGGTTTGCCAGGGCTTTTTTTTTTTTTTTTTTTTTTTTTAAGAAAGGAAGAGCGAGAGAGAGGTAGAGGTTTAGTTCATGCCAGAGTTGTACAGCCTCGTCACCACCAAATCTAGATCGTTTATGTAACTTACCAAAGAATCCCTGCCCATCACCTGACACTTCCCCACCCCACCCCAGCCCCTGGCCCACCCAAGGCTCCTTCCTGTTTCTGTGCATTTGCTTGTTCCAGACATTTCCTATGAGTGAAATGCTCTGATATATGTCTACTTGGTTGCTTTTTTTTTAAGGATCTTATTTATTAGAGAGAAAGAGAGCATGAGTAGGACAGAGAGAGAGGGAGAAGCGGACCCCCTCCCCCCCTGCCGAGCAGGGAGCCCCACGCTGGGCTCAATCCCAGGACCCTGGGCTCATGACCTGAGCCGAAGGCAGATGCTTAACGACTGAGCCACCCAGGCGCCCCGACCTGGCTTCTTTCATTTACCGTAACGTCTCCAGGGTTCACTCCTCTCCAGTCAAATGATGCTCTGTAGTGTGGACGGACCATGTTTTGTGTATCTGCCAGCACTTGGCAGACACTTGGTGGTTTCCACTCCTTGGATCATGTGACTAAGCTGCTGCAGACATGTGCATGTGGGTTTTGTGAGGACATGTGCCTGTATCTGTCTGTCTAGAAAGTCGTGCTTATGGGTAAAGTAGATGCAGAGAGAGGCAGCAGTGATCCCCAAAGGCACATCTGTGTCGTGGCACTTCCCAGAATCCTCGCTCTGCTGCCTTCTTGCTTTGAGAGCTTTCTTTGTGAGCCATGGGGGATGGGGTTGCAGTTGCCACACCGTGCTGGCCGTGACACCTCCCCTGTGTTTGTGTGGCCCTCAGAGAGAGCGCTGTACAGCATGGAGTGTGCCTTCCACCCCTTATTCAGCCTCACTAGCGGGACCTGCCGGCTGGATTACCGCAGACCTGAGAACAGGTGGGTTTCCTGGATGACAGGTGTGTCAAGGTGCATCAGAGCTGTGACGGGATGGGAGTACCCGTGTAGGTGCCGCTGGAACGGGGCAGGGGCCTGTCCCCGAGGTGTCCCACCTGCTGGCTCACACCAGAGGATCCCTGTGTTTACCACTTGAACGCAGGAGGGCTCAAGGACAGATGGATTGGGCTAGCCTGGGGTTACATTTGTCCTCGTTAGAAGCGAGTCTGATAAGCCACTTCATTATCATGGGGTCTGTAGTTGTGTTTCCTCGTATATTTGGACAAAGGGATCTGCACCTCGTGAGTTTAGAATGCTCTGGGATGCTTTGTGGGCAGCCCTATGTGTCGTTTCCTAAATCATTGAGCTGCTCGAACTCAGCCTGATCCTGTTCCCTGCATTGAGCGGTCATGACTGCGTGACACTCTCTTCTCGCAGATGCATCTCCTGCCCCAGAGCCCCACCCTGGCACCAGCCCCCACTGACGGAGGCCTGAACAGCCTCACCCACTGGATTCCTGCCCTCGGCCTGGCCTTCAGGACCCTGGGGCAGGGCGGGGAGGGGGTGTCCTCTGTCCTGGTGCCCTCTTCACCCTCTCATGGCCTCCAGCGTCCTTGGTCATCTCCAGCCTTGGGTGTTTCCGCGCCTTGGCAGTCAACTCGGATCCCAGGGCACACAAGTTCCCCCCCGCCACTGCACAGATTGTCTGGTTTCATGTGTGTTCAGTTTGTCTCTCCAATTGAATTCTTCATTCTTGGAGACACAGGTTATAAAACACTAACCTCTGCACGCACCAGCAGGGTGGCGGTCATCGATAAAAACACTAGTCCACCAGGACGGTTGGAGTCTGCCAACCTGACGTATCCAGCAGCAGTTCTGCGTGCAGCTCCTGAGACTGCAGGGTGCGTTCAGACGTAGAGACGGTGGAGAGGTTGACTCTGTCCCGAGACGATAAACAGTAAACCAAAAACAAGTCGGTTTCAGCTAACGGCGAAGCTTGTTTCTCTACCCGGCTAGCCACGTAACTGCAGACGACAAGCAGAGCATCACCTTCTCTGCAGACAGGAACATTCGCCATCAGTCACGGTGCTCAGGCCACACGGGAAGTGCCAGCGCACAGAGGGTGGACTCGGTGCTGGACGAGGCCTCCAGGCAGTGTGGCTCTGGGGTCGCTGCCACTCTGATTCACCAGGAACTGTCTTGGATCTAGGAGCTTCTACCTGGCCCTCTACAAGCAGATGAGCTTCCTGGAGAAGCGTGGCTGCCCGCGCACGGCGCTGGAGTTCTGCAAGCTCATTCTGAGGTAAGCACCCACTGCTGCCACCCCTGTGGTCTCCGCGGCCACGAGCCTGCAGACATCCACACCGGCCCACACTGCCCTCTCTCCCTCTGCCGCCTCCGGAAGCCTGGAGCCCGACGAGGACCCGCTGTGCATGCTGCTGCTCATCGACCACCTGGCCTTGCGGGCGCGTAACTACGAGTACCTGATCCGCCTCTTTCAGGAGTGGGAGGTGGGTGTGCATGTGCACTTCTCCTCGCCTTGCTCAGCCCAGAGTCTGTGCCCTGCTCCCTTTTTGTCTCCCCTGCTCCTTGCGATCATGTGCACACAGCTGCAGGGGTGGGGGGTGGGCCGAATGGGATGGCCCCCGCGTCCCTCGAGGTGGGCTTGCATGTGCCCGCGCCCTCTCGCACGCACCCGTGTCCCTCAAGCGGGCTCGCACGCGCCCGCGTCCTCTCACACGCACCCGCGTCCCTTAAGCGGGCTTACCCGCCCGCGTCCTCTCACACGCACCCGCGTCCCTTAAGCGGGCTCACCCGCCCACGTCCTCTCACACGCACCCGTGTCCCTCAAGCGGGCTCGCACGCGCCCGCGTCCTCTCACACGCACCCGCGTCCCTTAAGCGGGCTCACCCGCCCGCGTCCTCTCACACGCACCCGTGTCCCTCGAGCGGGCTCGCACGCGCCCGCGTCCTCTCACACGCACCCGTGTCCCTCAAGCGGGCTCGCACGCGCCCGCGTCCTCTCACACGCACCCGCGTCCCTTAAGCGGGCTCACCCGCCCGCGTCCTCTCACACACACCCGCGTCCCTCAAGCGGGCTCGCACGCGCCCGCGTCCTCACACGCATCCGTGTCCCTCGAGTGGGCTCACAGGCGCCCACGTCCTCTCACACGCACCCGTGTCCCTCAAGCGGGCTCTCACGTGCCCGCGTCCTCTCACACGCACCCGTGTCCCTTAAGCGGGCTCACCTGCCCGCGTCCTCTCACACACACCCGCGTCCCTCAAGCGGGCTCGCACGCGCCCACGTCCTCTCACACGCACCCGTGTCCCTCGAGCGGGCTCGCACGCGCCCGCGTCCTCTCACACGCACCCGTGTCCCTCGAGCGGGCTCACACGTGCCCGCGTCCTCTCACACGCATCCGTGTCCCTCGAGCGGGCTCACAGGCGCCCACGTCCTCTCACACGCACCCGTGTCCCTCAAGCGGGCTCGCACGCGCCCGCGTCCTCTCACACGCACCCGTGTCCCTCAAGCGGGCTCGCACGCGCCCGCGTCCTCTCACACGCATCCGTGTCCCTCGAAGGGGCTCACACGCGCCCACGTCCTCTCACACGCACCCGTGTCCCTCAAGCGGGCTCACACGCGCCCACGTCCTCTCACACACATCCGTGTCCCTCGAAGGGGCTCACACGCGCCCACGTCCTCTCACACGCACCCGCGTCCCTCAAGCGGGCTCACATGCGCCCGCGTCCTCTCACACGCACCCATGTCCCTCAGGCGGGCTCGCATGGACAGATGCAGGCGGGGTCTGCCTTCAGTCTGACGTTGAGGCAGAGCCTAGACACAAAAAAAGTGCATGCTCTCACTGGTGACTTTCATAGTGATCCTGTGTAGAAGTGATGCTGTTTTAGGTATTTGGGTTAAATATAACAGTAGTAACATTCGTTTCATCTGTATTTTTAATTCGGCTGCTGGAAAATGTGTGTCCCTGTTGGATGGTGCCCTCTTGGGGATGTGTGAACCTGACCACCTGCAGTGGGGTGGGGCTGGTGTGTGTAATTGAAAAAATGACTACATACATAAGTCATTTTGAATTCTGTTCCTTGGCTTGTTGGCCCAGGAGTCCCATCACTGGGGACCTAGTTTATACAGTTCCTGGAGCCCCCAAAACGGAGCTGCAGGGAGCACCCCTCCCCCCACAACAGGGCTGCAGAGGAACGTTTACCGAACTGTGGAGACCACAGCCCCACTTCAGTGGCGAAAACCCGGCCCATCGTGTGTTATCTGTCACGTACACGTAAAGAAAGGCCGGGAAAGTGCTTAGCCGTGTTCGCCAGTGTGATCAGGTCCCAGCAGGGGAGGGACGTTCCTCGTTGCCACCCGGCTTTCTGAGTTTCCCACTGTGACAGAGCACGGACTGCCTGCTTCCAAAGCTGGCCGCAGCCTGAGGGTGGGCACCTCTCTATGACCCCACCTGACTCCACCTCCCCCAGGTCCTCCCCCTTTTCCGTCTCTGTCGATTCTCCACCTCCCCCCACAGCCGGGGCCTTGTTACTTGTCTCCTGCCAAGAGAAAGCCTCTGGACGTGCCATGAAGTTATCTTTATGCCAAGTAGAGAGATACCAACACAACGCTTGTGCTCATCACTGGGGCTCAGACTTCGGAGCGTCTATGAAGTGTGCATCTTCTGTCTTTGCCGTGTCGAACTTCCAGACTTTGTTTCTCTGGCTCTTGTAGGCTCATCGGAACCTGTCTCAGCTCCCAAATTTCGCCTTCTCTGTGCCGTTGGCTTATTTCCTGCTGAGTCAGCAAGCAGACCTCCCCGAGCAGGAGCTCAGCTCTGCAAGGGAGCAGGCCTCTATCCTGATCCGACAGGCGCTCACCATGTTCCCTGGAGGTGGGTGCACCCTCGCAAACCCCCGCATGCACGTAAGCACAATTCAGAAGCTGGAAATGAGTCACAACTGACTTTGGTATCCAGCTGTCTTGGGGTTTTAGGATAAGTGTTTTGATACTGACTGAAAAAAATTTAGTCTCTGAAGACGGGTGTTTTCTAGAGAGAGGGATATGAGCTGCTGGACGTTAGCAGAACCGTGCAGGAGGGACCCAGTCCACAAATCCCATTTCTCATTGAGTTGGAGAACTTAGACAGGGTTGTCCTGGGATTGCACAGAGGTCCTTCCACCATCCCTGTGTTCCCTGGAGTGGTGGGCTGGTGTCCACGCAGAGACAGAGTCCTGTGGGCTGATCTTGGTGGTGACAGGAGATCAGAGGGAGCCTGCTGCCCCATCAGGGTCCTGGTGGAGTTGGGTCCTCCTGCCACGTGCGGTTTCACAGAGGGCTGTGTGCCAGGGACAGGCCATGAGGCTCATGCACACTGTCCCCACAGCCCCCTCTCAGTGACCCCTTCACCTCTGTGAGCCTGCTGCGTCCCAGGCCAGGCAGAGGAGGCAGCCAGGATCCCCACTTCTAGGGCTCACATCCCAGGGCAAGGAGACAGGCAGTGGAATGAGCTGAAAAGGATGGTGTATCAGGTGGTGCTAGGTGCTGGGGAGAAAACAGAGCAGGGGGTGTAGACAAGGATGGTGCAGGTCTGAGGAGGTGGCCAGGGCAGGATTGAGGCCTGTGTCACTGAGGATTCCCACCAGACTTGTACATCTGAGCCTGACACGCAGGGCTGCCTGGCCAAGTCTTCGGAGAACTGACCGTTCCCCGTTGAGGTGTGTGAGGTTAGGAGGCGAGGCCCCTGGTGGGCTCTGGCTGTTTGTGTGGGGTCAGGGGTGTTGGCAGCTGCGTGCCGACTGCTGGTGGTGTTTCTGTGCAGCCTGGGGGTCCTGCTGCACACTGAGCTGCCCTGCTTTCACCCATCCCTGGAAGGTCACTCAGAGACACGGTTCTCCAGGTGACGTGGCTGTGGCGAGGCCTCGGGTCTCAGGGAGAGCGCTCTAACAAGTGGGCAGAGCCTGTCTCCGCCCAAGGCCCAAGCCCCACAGGCTGGCTCTGGCTCCCCCAGCAGCCTGCAGGTGGAACGTGTGTGAGCTCAGTGGTTAGGACGCCTTGTGTGTTTGCCTGGTGGGTCGTGGGTGCGACCCCTCAGATGCACACGGGGCTGCTGGGAGGCAGGGCAGACGACCACGTCTAAGGTGGCAGAGCCCCACTGGGGGCTGGTGCAGGTAGACTGGCCTCACCCTGGTGTCACCCCGCCCTTGAGGGCCCCTCTTCCTCCTGCAGTCCTCCTGCCTCTGCTCGAGTACTGCAGCATGCGGCCCGATCCTGCTGTCGCCACTCACCGCTTCTTTGGACCGGATGCCGAGATCAGGTAAAGACAGGACGGGGCCCGCCCACGGCTGGGTCACGGGGATGCCCCTCAGAGCAGAGTCCGGGAACCATTTGCACTCAGACCCGAGGCTCATGAGGCTGGCTGGCCCTGGGAGGTCCTGCCAGGCGCTCTCTGCAGGAGACCTTGGCGGCCAGACTGTTGTCCCACCGAGGAGGGCTGGGTCCCAGGTCCTCGTGGGCATTGCCTCACCGCTCAGACCCAGAGCTGGCGGGTGCGAGAGCAGCTTGCGGCCCAGAGCTCAGGCCTTCCTGATGGGAAGTGGGCGGGGTGTGGGGCCCCCTGTGCCAGCACCTGCACCTGCTGGGTGGGCTTCGTATCCCACACCTGTACGCGCATGGATTGTCTTTCCCAACTGTCTTGTGAAAAACGAAGGTGAACGTGCAGCGTGGGAGCCCCGTTAGTGAACCAGCATGGCTCTTTAGCGTCTCTGTGTGCGCAGACGTACACTTTTCCTCTGTTTTACGTTTCTTCTAAAGAACTCGCACTTACTACGGCCCATCTCCAGTCGGCAGCCCCTCTGGGCAACTTCCTTGGCCCCCAGGCTGCTGGACAGGCCCCTGCACCCTCCCCAGAGGTGCCAGTGGGTGCGTGGAGTCTGTGCCCTGGCGGGCTCTGCTCACAAGCCCCCCTCTCCCACAGCCAGCCCCCTGCCCTGAGCCAGCTGGTGAGCCTCTACCTCGGAAGGTCGCACTTCCTCTGGAAGGAGCCCGCCACCATGAGCTGGCTAGAGGAGAACGTCCGCGAGGTTCTGCAGGCGGTGGACTCTGGGGACCCCGCGGTGGAAGCATGTGAGAGCAGGTGGGCCTGGAGGCCAGGGGGGACAGGGCAGCGCTTGGCCTGATGGGTCCTCACGAGAACGAAGCCCATCTGCTCAGGGTGGTTGTCACAAATGTGGCTGCAGGGCCAGGGCGGGCTCCATTCCATGGGCTGTCCCTTTTCTCCCTGGGCCTAGGCGGAAGGTGCTCTACCAGCGTGCGCCCAGAAACATCCACCGCCACGTGGTCCTGTCCGAGGTCAAGGAAGCTGTTGCCGCCCTCCCCCCGGTAAGGGAGAGGGGCTGAAAATGGGAGCTTTGTCACCTGCTGGGCCCCTCCCTTCCCAGCTGGGGTTTTAAGAGGTGGGGCTGTGCTCCTGGCTGTCTGAGCGGCTCGGGGGGCCCTGGAGCCGCACGTGTACCCCTGCCGTCTAAGCAGGGCAGGGTGAGCGTCCCCGCCCTTCACCCAGTTTCTTAGTCCAGTAGATGCAGCCTCGCAGCCAAGGACCAATTCTGTCAGACTGACGGACTCCTCGCGGAGAGGCCTAGACTAGAATCAGCTGGAAATCTGCTGGGGGCACAGCCGGGGCTCACGGCGGTTCTGTTTCCCTTTCTGAAGGACGTGACCACGCAGTCTGTGATGGGCTTTGACCCTCTGCCTCCCTTGGACACCATCTACTCCTACGTCAGACCAGAGAGGTACCTCTCCGTCTCCTGCTTTGCTCCTTTGCTTGGGTGGCTCCGAGGTCAGTGCTTACGGCTCCCTGGCGCTCCCTGCCACCTCCAGACACGGGCCCTCGGAGGACGGTGTGATTGGGGTCACGGGTCAGCTTTCGCTGGCCGTGTCCTTTCACTTGTCTGATGTAGAAACGTTTTCGGTCGGGTTCTAGAGCAGGTGTTGGAGGTAACAGTGGGAAGCAAGAGTAACGCACCACCTCTGCCCTCATGGAGTGTGCGGTGCGGTGGGGGACGTGTTAATTATGGAATCTAGAAATAAGTGTAAAATCAAAACCACAGTAAGAAAGTGCTGATACATAGGACTCAGAACTGAGAAAGGCTTGTGTGGCCAAGCCCGGGAGAGCTTCAGTGAGGGCGCAGCTAGCCCAAGTCTGCAGTGGATTTGTGGACTGCGTTTAGCCTTGGATTGCGGGAAAGCTGCCTTTTTCTTTCCTTCTAGCCTTTCAAGCTGAGTGACTGCCTTACCACGAGGCTGTCGGCACAACCTTGTAGATCTGGAGTGATAGACTTTCCCATTTCAGAAAGCGTGTTCTTTCCAGACCTCAGTAGAGGTAGAGCGCATTATGTAGGATAAAGGAATTTTTCTAAAAGTTGGACTGCATGCTTCTAGGGAAATAGTGCCCACTTAAATTCTCAGATTGATTAAGGTGATACTTAGGCATTTGTAATGTTGGTAGGTTCAGAAAAAAAGCTGTCTTGCTGGACATTGTAGCCCTGAGGAGTGATTGAAGGGCTGTGCCGACCCGAGGCCATCAGTCCTTAAATGTCCAGTGGAGCTGGGCTCCAGCACCATGTCTTACCAGGAGGGCACTCCCCAGCACACCCTAGAACCTTCTCTTCACATGACCACTTTGTATCCCCTGCGCGGCGTTTCTTAAAAGTGAGCCACCCGAGCCGTGGCAGGTGACCCTGCACACTCTGCTCAGCTCAATCAGCCAGGTCCCCAAGGGCCTGCCCCCCCCCGGACACCCTTCCCTGTGAGGCCTGAGCATGTGCCTCAGCTACCGCGTGGGCTGTCTTCCCCCCGACCCTAGGGCAGGGTACACAGCTGCACCATCTGACCTTCTTTCCTCTTTCAGGCTGAGTCCTGTCAGCCACGGAAACACAATTGCTCTCTTCTTCCGGTCTTTGTTGCCCAATTATACCATGGAGGTATGTGAGCATGTCTTGGCCTCTCTCTGCCACGTGGGTTCAGGCTGGGCCGTGGGGTTGTGCGCGTCTAGAGGCTTTTACTGGCGCCAGCAGCCAACCTGCTCAGGAGACCGGGACATGCCCACCTGAGACCGTAGCCGCCACCTTGGCCCCTCAACTCAGCGTGGCTCCTTGACCTCCCGCTGGGGCCTGGCCTCGTTCGTCAAACGTGTTTGGGTTGAGGAGCTCCCTTTTCCCGGCAGGGTCCTGGGCAAGCTGGGTTGGGAGTGCTGGGCCTCAGGGCCCAGGACAACCCTGCTCAGACAAGTCTCATTGCTGCAGGGGGAGAGGATGGAGGATGGAGGGGCTGGGGGTCTGAACCGCAACCAAGGCTTGAACAGGCTGATGCTGGCCGTGCGAGACATGATGGCCAACTTCCACTTCCACGACGTGGAGGCAGCTCGCGAGGACAACCCCGAGGGGGACGGGGAGTGGGACTGAGCCCGCATCCATGCCGTGCCCCAACGCTGTACAATTATGTTTCTGATTGCTCTTCTGGTCGGAATTGGCCAGTTCCCTGGAGTAGAAATGCTGATGTGTCGTCCGCCTGCCTCCTTTGTGTCTCCTATAAATGTGAATGGGTTACGCTCTGTGCAGCGTGAGCTCTTCTTTCCCGGGGCTGGAATCTGAGGCAGGTGGGTCCCGGATCCGCACAGACCCCAAGGTGTCCCAGGAGAGAACATGACCCAGAGTCACACACAGCAGCCAAGCCCCAGCCCCCTGTGAGCTCTCTCCATGGCCACCCTGCCCTCCACAGTTTGGGGCACAGAGTGGAGAAGGTCCCACAGGTTTTCGGTGCAACATCCCTGCTGAGAACACCAAGGTGTTTGCCTCCATTGGGAACCTGGAACAGGCCGGCCAGGGACAAGAGGTACTGACACCAGAGTCCTTGGGCTGGGCACCACTGATGCAGAATCATAGTGGTTTTATGGGGAAACTTCAGGACAGCCCTGAACGGGAAGGAGGCTGAGAGGTACACCTTGGGAAGGATGTCCTGGCAGCTCTGGAGATTGTATGTGGCAGAGATGAGGGGGCATTTGATTGCGGGGGAGGGGAGGTCAACAGAGCATGGGGGAGAGCTCATCACCTGGGGCAAGTCCTGGCCTGCTCCACAGCTCAGCACCACACAGGGCTGCCTGTCGCTCAGGAGCCTGATTGGTTGTGGAAGGGTCAAGGACACTGAGGTTGGGAGCTGCCAAGTCTCTTGGGCCCCCTCCCGGCCCTGACCTCCACTCCTGTAAGTAGCAGACGGGGGTGTGAGGAGGTGCTGCTCACACGCTCTAGGCCAGGATCAGTGTTGGCTGGGCCTCTCAGGAAGTCCCGTACAGTGTTCTAGACATTGATGTGCAGTCACCTTTTGGGGAGATCTGTGAGCTTATCCTGCTGGGAGCGCCCAGCATTTGGGGGTCAACAAAAGCCTCTGCTTTGAACACCCATGGAAGGACAGCGCCCTGCAGACATGTTGATGTCCGTCAGTTACTACCCATACTTCATCCCATGTCACTGTAACTGGATTTGGTGGGTGGGATCGAGGACGATTGAAATAGTCCCAGGCTGTCCTGGATCCACATTTCTCCCATGAGGGTGTCCTGCGATAAGCTTCAGCCAACAGGACCAGGGGTCTGCTGGGTTCCTCCAGGAAGGGGTTCGTTCTCTCATGATGACAGGCAGGGAGAGCTTGGCACCCTGCCTCTTCCAGCCTTAAGTACATCTGGATGGGGATGCGCTGTCCGGAGCTGCAGCAGTCGTTTTACAACTAGGAGTTGGTGACCTTCAAAATAGAGCCAGTGTTATAGAGATAGTGAGGTAGAGCGAGGCTGGGCCCAGACCAGGGTGAAACTGCTTCCTTCTGGGCCTGCTGTCCCGAGAGATGATTAAATCATCAGTGTTCAGCCAAACTGCTCGGGTTTAGGTCATTACTTGAAGCTCTGAGTTTCCGTGGAGATGAGAAGACAGCCAGCTCTCTCACATCTAAACGTCTGCTTTAAAGGCTTGCTCTGCCCCCCAGGGTCCAGGCAAGGGTGAATGGGCTCCTCCCAGCCGCCTGCTGCCCATGGTCGGATTGCTAATGGGTTATGCACTCTCCCATCAAGTCGCACTCTACCTCAGGGTAGCACAGACACCACAGGGTGAGCAAACAGGGTGTTCCTCTCTCTCAGTCCAGAGACCTCATCATGACCCAGCTGTCGGCCAGGCCACGAGCCAGGAGGAGCGAGCAGGCTGCACGCCCCACATGGCCGCTCGTGGGGCTGTCTCCTGGCTGGCCCCCAGGGTGGGGGAGCTCCGTGAAGGAAGCAGGGCTTTGGCCCTCTGGTCAGGCCGTGACCCCCACCTCCTGGTGTGGCCATGGTCGGACACTGTATCTCACTGGACTCTGCAGTGAGGGGCTGTGTCCACACCAGCCCCTCGCCGCCCCCCCCCATGAAGCTCACTGGTGCATCAAACGCTCACGTGCTGCGGGCCAAGTGTGTGCCTGGCACTGTTCTTGGTGCTGGGGACCCCACAACTGGGCTCCTGTTCTCACAGCCTCACATGTGGGTCCAGCCCGCCGTCTCAGGTTGGTACGTGCTCTGAGGGGACAGTTGTGTCCACCACCTATCTCCTGGCCATTCCTCAGTTTCTCCCAGGGGCACTAGAGATCGAGTTGATACCATTGGCCTTAAGATTATCTGTGATTTCATTTAGACGTTTCCCTCATAACCATAACTAATCACAAAGTTGAGAGTCTCCGTCCCATGAAGTCCCCAACGGGCACATCAGAACCAGATGGGGAGTCTCGAGGCCTCACCCGGAAGAGGACTGGTTGCCTGCCAGAGGCTGTCCAGTTCTCACGCTCTTTGAAGTCTCAGGCGGGGGGAGCATGTCCATCTCAAAGGCCTCTTTATGGAGCTGGAGATGCTGACTTCCCTGCGATGTGCTGACAGAAGCTGACAGAAGCAGGGGCAAGGCAGCAGACTCGCAGTTGGGGCCCCCAGAGGTGGAAGGTGGTCCTTGGTGAGGGACGGCTGCAGTGTGAGTCCTGGGACCCGTGTGGCAGGGACAGAGCTGGGGCCTCACGGCCACGGACCTGCACAGCCCCTCGCTGCTGCTGGGACCACCCTCACTGGCCGTGGCACCATCCTGTGGTCCTGGGAGGCTCTGCTCCCTTCAGGGTTCTCCATGAGGAGGAAAGAATGGGAGGTGTGAAGTCCTAGGGCAGGGAGCTCGGTGTGTGGGCCCATCCTGTGCCCGGTGCCTGTGGGGTGTGGGTGTGGGGCTGTCTTCTCATGTTCTCCGTGGGGAGGCGGGGGCTGGGGTCCTCGTGCCCTGCCAGCAACAGGCCAACAGGTCCACCCCCACGTGTCGCCCTGTGCAAACACGTGGCCTATGTCCACCAAAAGATGGGGCCAGAACACCCAGCAGGTACTGTTTGTAACAAGACGGGAGATGCCCAGTGGGGTCTGTGCATTAGACTACTACTCACAGCCACGAGGATGTCAGGGAGTGGCTCCCAGGGCAGGCAGATGCCCTAGCTGTTCTGGGGCAATTAATGTTTTTGTGATTGGTCTGGGTGCTGCCTTCCTGGCTGTGTTTAGGTTGATGCATCCACGAACCTGCAGATTTACAGCTTGTGTACTCTCATGTATGATGTTCTTCAATAAAGAGCACAATCAAAAGGGGGAGCAGCTTGTCAGTGGGGTGAGGCAGATGGAAGGGGTGGGTAATATTTGTAAGTGGGACCGAATGTGTGATGACACGTGGGCCGCCTGGCACTCGGGTGGGGGAGAGAAAGTGGGCTTGAACGGGAGTGTCACAGATAACACTCAACCCTGAGACCCTCCCTCCCAGCTCCCTCCCAGCCCTGCTGCCACCACCGAACAAGGCCCTTACCTTTCTTGTTGCCTCAGGTTGTCTCCCTTGTCCGCAAACCATTCTGTTCTCCTCCCACCTCTGCTCTTTAGAGGAGGAACTTGAGTCTTCAGCGAGAAAGTGCTGGGAGCACCCTGGAGCGAGGCCATTCTTGGCCGTGCACAATGTGGCTGGAGACAGAGGTCTGCCCTTGAAGTGGTTTCTCTGTAGAGGAAGTGGGGGCTGTCAGCTCTGTCCCTGCCCCTCCCCCCACGGAGGATGAGGCAGAGCAAGAGCCTGGTGTGACCGGGATGCCCTCCCACAGGGTTCCATGAGGGGGCTGGGCGTCCTAGGGGGCAGGGGCTGCCCTTAGTGAGCATCTAACATGGCGTAGGGAGCTAGGGGTTCAGGCTGGGGGTGCATGGTCAACAGCCAACAACTGTTTCCAAGGCAGAGTGGCATCAGGTGGGTGGCCAGAGATCAGAGACGCCTCCAAGGAGGAGGTGGTGTTTGCAGGGGGCCTGGAGCAGATCTAGAGGAGGCCCCCACATGGGCAGACCCTGGGCGTGGGGCCAGGCTGGGAGCGCTGGTTGGCTGAACACAGGTGAGAGGGGAGACGCCCTGCTGAGCCTGAGTCAGGTGTCCTTGGAGCCAGGGCAGCCCTGGCTGTTGTTTGTGCTGCCCAGAGGAAGGCCGGCTGGGGTGCCGTGCGGGGTGCTCTCTGATCGTGCGTCCAGGGTGCACGCCCATCATGTGGCCACCCTCAGGAGGAGGGGCTCCGGGGACTTTAAAGCTTCATTCTTCCTGGGACCTCAGCCCACCCCAGGCCTGGAGACGCAGGCGGCCTGGCCAGCCACGAGGCTGCAAGCGGCATAGAAATGCATGTCTGGACCTGAGCAACGGCACCTCTCCGGAAGAGGTGGGGAGGTGGGCTGAGGATCTGGGGTCCGGAGAGACTACAGGGTTGGTGCAAGGGAGCTTGGGGTCCTGGCTGGGAAGCAACCACTCTGCCGGGAAGCTGGGGTCTCTTCAGCTGGGTCATGGCTGAGCTGACTGACAGGGTGAATGTGAAGGCGGTCCGGGAGACACGAGCCCCGCTGGTGGCACTGTGAGCTGAGCAGGACGCCTGAGAGTGAGGACCCCTTCCTGCTCCCTGGTGGGACTATGTCTATGCAGGGTCCCCAGAGGAGGCTGCTGGGCTCCTTCAACTGCACCCCCCCAGCCACCCCTCACCTGAGGCTGGCTGCCAACCAGACGGGGCCCCGGTGCCTGGAGGTGTCCATTCCTGACGGGCTCTTCCTCAGCCTGGGGCTGGTGAGCGTGGTGGAGAACGTGCTGGTGGTGGCTGCCATTGCCAAGAACCGCAACCTGCACTCGCCCATGTATTACTTCATCTGCTGCCTGGCTGTGTCCGACCTGCTGGTGAGCGTGAGCAATGTGCTGGAGACGGCAGTCATGCTGCTGCTGGAGGCCGGCGCCCTGGACACCCGGGCGGCCGTGGTGCAGCAGCTGGACGACGTCATTGACGTGCTCGTCTGCGGTGCGATGGTGTCCAGTCTCTGCTTCCTGGGCGCCATCGCCGTGGACCGCTACGTCTCCATCTTCTACGCGCTGCGGTACCACAGCATCGTCACGCTGCCCCGCGCGTGCCGGGCCATCTCCGCGATCTGGGTGGCGAGCGTCCTCTCCAGCACGCTCTTCATTGCCTACTACAACCACGCAGCCGTGCTGCTTTGTCTCGTCGGCTTCTTTGTAGCCGTGCTGGTGCTCATGGCGGTGCTGTACGTCCACATGCTCGCCCGGGCCTGCCAGCACGCCCGAGGCATCGCCCGGCTCCATAAGAGGCAGCGCCCTGCCCACCAGGGCTTCGGCCTCAAGGGCGCCGCCACGCTCACCATCCTGCTGGGCATTTTCTTTCTCTGCTGGGGCCCCTTCTTCCTGCACCTCTCACTCATGGTCCTCTGCCCTCAACACCCCACCTGTGGCTGCGTCTTCAAGAACTTCAACCTCTTCCTCACCCTCATCATCTGCAACTCCATCATTGACCCCCTCATCTACGCCTTCCGCAGCCAGGAGCTCCGAAAGACCCTCCAAGGGGTAGTGCTGTGCTCCTGGTGAGGCTGCAGGCTCGAGGCCGCGGTGCTGGGCAGAGGGAGCTGGTGATGCCATGTGGCCTGTGGAGCAGGGCAGTCGCTTGCCAAAAAGGACAGACGAGATGATCTCCGGAGGTGTGGATGCATGGACCCTCTGGGGCCAGAGAAGGGAAGAAGCACCCATCTCCAGGAGTTGCCGTGGAGAGTGCAGGAGGCTGGGGAGATGCTGGGGCCACAGGCTCGAGGGGCAGGTGCCGGGCTTCTGGGCAGCATCTCTGCCCACTCCTGGAGAGCTGTGCCTCCACCCAGGGCCCTGGCAAGCTGTGCACACACCCACCTCGGCTGCCGGGTCTGGGGATTTGTGCCCCTGCCTGTTGGGATGTGAAGTCTCTGTGTGAGGAGCGTGACAAGTACTGCTCCCTAGGAGGGCCTCAGGAAGAGGAGCTTTGTGACCAGCAAGACCTGGCCTTCCAGGAGCGCTCCAGGAAGCAGTGAGCTTCTGTTTCAGGCAGAGGGGCTACGGTGGAGGGGGGCGCTGGTCTAAGGCTCGGTGGGGACCAGAGAGCTGGGGGCCCATCCGTGTGTGCAGCACGTACCCAGCAGACAGGGCCAGCCAGTGCCTGCCCGGGCCAGCGCAGAGGCTGTCGGCCGGAATCAGAGGCCGGCATCCAGGGCGTCAGGGCTGGGAAGCATTCTGGCAATAAATGCTGTGCTTGGTGCAGACTCATCGCTGCCCGCCTTGCCTCCTTCTGGAAATTGCTTGAGCCTGGAGGGAGGAGGAAGGGGGAGGGGCAAGAGTGGGGTTGAGGGTGATGGACAGGGAGAAGCGAATCCCAGAAACCAGCCAGAAACCATGGCTGGCAGGCCCGGGTGAAGAACCCACAGCCCCAAAGGACCCAGAGTGCCCGAGGCGCTGCCCAAGGCGACAGTGTGGGGGCCCCAATGACACCTGCTCTGGGCCTGTGTCTTCGCTTTCTCCTCGTGGTGTAAACCCCAGCTCAGAGCACCTAGAGTGAGAAACAGCAGCTGCCCCCCCCCGTGACCTCCATGGGGACCCAACTCGGCACAGTCCAGGGTGCCCTTAGCTGCAGCAGGAGCAGGACCACCATGACCCATATGTGACCTCAGCCTGAACACATCCCTGTCACAGCCCAGTCATGCCGCCCCTCCTCCATGTCTGCCCACAGTGCAGTGTGTGCTGGGGGGTGGGGCCTGCTCTCCCCCAGGACTGCCCTCTTGGGAAGTACTTGAGGCAAGGCCTCCCAGAATGGAGTGGGGCTGTCCAGGGACTGTCCAAGCCCAAGCCCCGAAGGAGTGGACATCTGGGGTGAGCCCTGCTGCTGGTGCCGGGGAGCCCTTGGGCCCCCCCCTCGGTTGCAAACCTGAGTTTCTCACTGAAGAGCCCACCTGGTTTCCTCCACAGATACTGAGCATACAGTCGACCCCCTTCCTGACACAGGTTCGGCGGCGGCAAGGGTGATGGTATCAGCCAGTTCGAAGGCAGGTCTAGTAGTGCCTGAAGTTTTCGGCAGCCACTGGCCAGCCACCCCCAACTCTGCCCCAGCCAGTCCCCACCCATGCTGGCAGCTTCAGCCCAGACTGCTAGCCTCAAGGCCAGGAGCTGGTTCCCGGCAGGGCTAGCCTTTGCAGGGGGACAGGACGGTGAGTCAGCCGTGAACCTGGCACCAGAGCCCCCTGGGGAGGGAGGGAGAGCGGACCTGGCCCGACGCCATCACGCGGGGAGGCAGGGCGTGCGGGTAATGGGTCTTGGCCAACGGGATGCTGCAAAGCTCCTTCCTTTGCTCAGTCGGGGAGGTGCAGCCAGCTCCGGGGAAGAGCCAAACGCTCACCGAGGACCCCCTGAATGGGGACAGGGAGGGGCCCCAGGCAGCCGGAAGCCAACCACCGAAAGCCACATCACGGACACGCTGTGGGGGAGGGGTGTCTCTTGAGAACAAAAGACCCATTTCTAGACTAGCCAACTGGAGAGCTTCAGGGTGGGGGGAAGAGGGGCTATGCGCAGCCACACCCTGTCAGTGCACTCTTGAGTCCAGCTACACACAGGCACACCACAGACCTGTTCAGCCGACGGCTTGTGGGACCTCCACGCACTGTGACCGAGACCCCTCCTGGAAGATTCAGAAGGACCTTATTACAAGGTGGTTTCACTACAATGTCTGACCCCAGTGGCATTCTGTATGTGTAATATAATGTCTGTACTGCATGTCCACTTGATACCTTCCTTTCTCTTCTGATCAGTGGACCCTCTTTCCCCGTTTGCCTCCCAAGAATCCCCCAGCTCTGCCTTAGGCGCACACTCTCTCACTACATGGCCCCTACCACCATGTTGTGTTGGCCTCACGTGGACCAAGAGTCCAGGAGTCCGGGTGACACCAGGACGTGAATCAGACAGAAGTCACAGCCCACCACTCCCCACCCTGTCAGTCCCTCGCCTGGCTTGTGTCCTTTTGATAATGCCTGGCACCAGTATTCACTGAGCAGCAGCTACGTACCAGGCACTGTACCTGGCAGGGGTACAAAGCATCCCCACGTACCAGGTCCATTTGGAATCTCACGGCAGCCCCCCGAGGGAGGAGGGGCAGGTACCTGGCATCCCCCACTGCAGAGAAGGACCGTGAAGCTCAGAGCTGCCGTTGTAAGCCACCCTCCTTCTGACTCGGCGTGTCTGAGCCCTGCCCCATGCTTTCTTCTGGAGGGCTGGGTGCCTGCTGCAGCATCTTCCTGCCTGCCCCACCCCTGCTAGAGTACCTCGTCTGTCCCTTCATGCCACAAGACAGGGAGCTGAGAGGCGTCCATCTCGGTCTTTGGGGTGGGACCGTGGGGCTGGTCCCTGAACGGGTGTGGGGAAGAAAGACTGTCCTTGCAAAGCCGTGGGGTGGGGCTGCCGCGGCGGCGGGACCCGAGAGGGCAGCCTGGGCGGGGCCCGAGAGCCAAGAGGGGCTTCTATTGTCCTCCCTGGAGCCCGCCAGCCCCTCCCTCCAGTATGCGGGGGCCCCCAGACTCCCGCCCCCGCCCCCCGCCCGCGGGCCCCGCAGACCCTGGTGGCGGCGGGCGGAGGCGGCGCGGCGCGCGGCCGAGCGGGGATGCGCGGTGCTGATGCTGCAGGGCCGGTGCTGCATTCTGCGGCGGCGCCCCCCGATTGGCCGCGCGCGGTGACGCCAGGCCGGGCGCTGCGGGCGGGGCCCGGCCTATAAGAGCGGGCGGCGGGGGCGGCCGACCCTCCGCAGCCAGCCCCGGCCTGTACGCGCGTGTCCCGCAGCCGCCCGTCGCACGCACCGAGCATGAGGGAGATCGTGCACATCCAGGCCGGCCAGTGCGGCAACCAGATCGGGGCCAAGGTGAGGACGCGCGCCGCCCCCGCCCCGCGCCCCGCGCCCCGCGCCCCGCCCCGGCTCCGGGCCCTGACACCGCCGCGCAACCCGCCTCCCCACCCACAGCCGGGCCCCGGAGGGAGGGAAGCAGGGAGGCGCCGCACCCCGAGCCGCCCTTGCCGCTGCGAAGCCAGGAACAAAGGGACGAGCCGGGCCCCGCGCCGGGCGGCCGGGCGGCCGGGCGGCCGGGGCACCGGGGTCCCTGCCCTGCCACGTCCACATCGTCTTCTCTCTGTCCCTGCCCGGGTTACCTCAGGCCTGCGGGAGCGCCGCGCAAGTCGGCGGCTGAGCTCCATCCACAGCGGCTGCAGCTGTGGGGGCTGTTTGGGCGTGGCCCTCTTCTTTGGGGTCGCAACTCAGCCTTGAGCGAGATGGGTGGGGTGGGCAGGTTTGGGTGGGGCGTCCCCTTCAAAGACGAAACGATTCTGTCTGCCCTGCTCCCGCTGCCCCCAGGAGCAGGATGTCCTCCAAGCCGCCAGAGCCACCCCCATGCCCCAACCTCGTTGTTCAGCTTCCTGACCCCACCCTATTCCTTTGTTGGGGGAGGGGTTGGGCCCAGACTCGGGGTGACCTTGGTCCAGGACTGGACTTTTCCTCCAGCTCAGCCCAGCCTGGGCAAACCTCCCGTGGGTTTGGACAGCACCCACCCAGGGACTGTGGAGTCTGGGGGTGGGATGTCGGGAACAAAGCCCCACTCCTGGGATGGAGAGCTGCATCACCACCTCCATTGTTAGCCCACCTCGAAGATGTTGGAACTAAGGGGAAGAGGAGGTGGTTAATCCCCACTGGAACCTAGGAGACAGGTGTCACGTCCCCAAGTCCAGGGAGACTATCCCTTGCCCAAGGTCACGCAGCAAGTGCGAGACAGAGCCACACTACCCTCCGGCTCTCAGTCCCTGCAGATGTCCAGCCCAGGGCTCAGGCTAGGTGGGTGGGGCCTGCTGCGCACTGGGGCACCCCACAGAACAAAACCGGGGAACGGGGGCGGCTTTGTCAGGACCAAGGCCAGGGACCCAGGGTGGGAGTGGTTGCAGGGCGGGTTTCCCAAAGGAGGCAGTGGGAGGAGACAGGTCTTGGAGGTGAAGGGGCCTAGGAAGGGGGTTCCTCTGGAGGCTGTTGCCATGGAAACGAGGCAAGAACAAAAAGCTAATTACAACGCTGCTGGGGCAGCCTCGTGGCTGACATATAAATTGCAACTTCTTCTCTAGGGTGGAGGTGACTTGGACCGGGTGGAGGGGTGGTACCAGGGAGACTCCCTAATCACCTGAAGAAACAGCTGTGCCTGCCCCAGGAAGGGGGCTGGGGGAGGGGGAGGCCTGGGGGATGATGGCCTCAAATCAAATCAGGACTCCCGGGGCAGTCGCTGACAGCTGCCCTGGCCAGTTGGGAGGGGTGGAGGGCTCATTAATGTGGTCACAGGGGCCAGGCCTGCCCTGAACATCTGCTCCTCGGAGGGTCAGGGGTCACTGGGGGAAGGGAGGGCAGCCCTGAGTTCTGCCTGAGCCTGGGGGAGTGGTGATCTGGTTATACACCCCTCCTCCCTATGGCCTGGACAGACACATATCAAGCAAAGGCAAGTCCACGCCCTGAGCTGTAGCTGCGGTGGAGGGAGGGCTGGGGGGGGGGGGTGGCAGGAGGGGGAGGGAGGAAGGCAGAGCCAGTAGCCTGAGTGCTGGACAAGTGTCCTTGGCTGAGATTTTTTTTCCTGCTTCTTAGAGGTGTGGCCTCCTGGGTTTGCTCATTATTTTTTTATTCCTTTTGGGTTGATTTTCTTACTTTATGTTGTTTTAAAAATTAGTATCTGATCCTTTCTAACAATTCAAACCAGAGAGAGGTGGATTTTGTGGGGAGAGGAGCTATTTCTTTCTTTTCCGCCTTTTTTGGTGACCAGTGACAGCAGTTGAGCATCTTCCTTCTGGCCTCCTTGTCCTCGGAAGTCTCCAGAGACCCAATTGAACAAAGTGCTCAAAGCCCCCCGGGCCAGGCCCAGCTGGTGCTGCCGTCTGCCCTGTGGACAGGCGGTTCATTGGCCGTTTCTGTCTCCTGATCCCATGGTGGCTGTGGGTGCCCTGGTGAAGGGGGCGGGCGAACTTTTCCTTCCCATCACCAGCAGCGACTGGCCGATGGGCAAGGGCGGCAGCTCTAGCGAGGGGCCTGGCTGTGGGGGATGGAGAGGGGTCAGGGCGATTGGGGCCAGGAGAGAACACACCTCTCCTGAGCGGTAGCTTGCCGGCATTACACTCACGACAACGATCACGATCGCTGCGTATTGACCACTGTGCCTGGTGTTCAGGCCCAGCGCCTCCAACACGTGCGGTGAGATAGGGGATCGCCCTTCCCCCAGGGGTCGCTCCGCGAAGTGGAGGCACCGCCCAGGAGGGACAGGGCAGGGGTCGGAGTCTAGGTCTGCTCGGATCCATTAGGGTGGGCGGGAACGCCCCCTCCCACCGACGCCACACAACAGGCGGATGAATCCGGGGACCCCATCCTTCTCCTCTGGGGTGCAGGGCCATCCAGGAGCCTTTGTCTGCGCCCCCTTCTCTCGGCCGCTGGGCGGAGCCTCGGAGGGGCGGGCCCTGGCTCTGACCGCCAATGGGGGGAGGGATTTCCTGCTTTCCCTGAACCCGCCTCCTAAATGGGTCACTGTAGCGCTTGCTGTGCTCGGGGCTGGGAGGGGCTTCGAGGTCCTGAAAGGGTTTAACACCCGTGAGTCGGCAAGCCCTCCCTCCGCGGAGCCGCGTCCCCCCACTTGCCGTACCGACGCCTCCCGGGCCCCCGAGCGAGGACGCGGCAAAGGATCAGCACCACGGACAGCGCAAAGGGCGCGGGGGTCTGACGTAGGAGCCACGGCCAGCACCCTGGGTTGGATCCAGGCGCCCTCTGGCAGTTTTCTCAACTGCAGTGATGGTCATGAGTATTTCTTCTTTAATTTACAAAGTTGTATTTTATTATTGATTAAATATTACATAATATATTTTACTAATACACTTATTATAAGTCACATTTTTTATTAGTTTTAACCACAAAAGCAATTAATATAGTCTTCTAAAAAGTTGAAACATTGGGGATAAGTGTCCATTTAGCCACCTCATGCCCCTAGGTCCTGCTGTCCTGGGGGGACAGTTTTGTTTTCCATTCTTCCAGCCTGTTTTCTGTGCATGTGCATCTATCTATCTATCTTTGTAGAAAAATGTAACATCTTTTGAAGTTCCCTTTTTTATTCTACATATCATTATGCAGTGTGCTTTTCCCTCAAGGATGTGTCTCGGGGATGTGCTCATATCCGTGACGATATTTTACTGCACCACAGTATCCCAAAGTATACTGATTTTTAAAGACTTTTATTTTTGTTATCTGTGCATATGGCTTTACAGATTTAAATAGCATCTAATCTTTTAACCCAATGAAGCCACTATTTGCTGAATGCATCAAGCCTTATGCTAACCCCTTAAGGAGGATACTATTATCGTGTCCACTTTACAGATGAGAAAACTGAGGTCTCAGGAGAGAGAGTCACTGGCACACACTGACTGGTGCTGGTATCTTGTCCATCACCTCCTGGAGGACCATGCTTTCCAGAGATGCATTTTCAGTAACTCTCTGTGGATGTGTTGATGGCAGGGTGACTGACTCACTCCCTCCTGGCCCCACACTTGCTGTCTCAAGCTCATCACTCCTCTGCAGGGGCTGTGGTGTCCCTGAAACCAGAGGTCTGGGGTGTCTCAGAGCTCTGGGGACCAAGACCCTAGCTCCCGCTTTCATGTAGGCCTCGGGCTGAGGAGGCCATGAAGATCCAAGTAGTGGTAGGAAGCTCTGATCGGGCCCCGAATGTCTCAGTGACATTTCTGTGTGTTTATTTTTTCTAATTACAAAATTAACACACACAATGTAAAAAGAACAGTTAACAATGACAAAACGGGGAGTAAATCCCCCACCCTCACTGAGTGACGACCTCTGATAACAGCCTCTCTGGATGAACTGCCAAGATTTTTCTATGCATTTTATAATAATGATAACACTGTTGATAATGATCAGTTTTAATTTTTTATTTATTTTTAAAAAATATTTTTTATTAATTTGAGAAAGAGAGAGTAAGTGAGAGCACAAGGTGGGGGGGGTAGTTCAGAGGCAGAAGGAGAGGCAGATTCCCCGCTGAGCAGGGAGCCCTGATGTGGGGACTCTGGGATCACAACCTGAGCCGAAGGCAGACGCTTAACTGACTGAGCCAACTAGGCGCCCCTAATTACCAGAGTTTTAAAAGATATTTTCTAACTAATCTTTTGTTATTGTTTAGAAATTAACATGTGACAATTCCAAAAGAGCCAAAGGGTATACAGTGAGAAGAACTTTCCCCCAACCCAGACCCACATTCCCAGGCCCAGGTCCTTGGAACGGACACCTTTGTGCCTGTTAGAGACATCTATATATAGATAAATATGTGAAAACTGGATTCTAACTGCTTTTTTCACGGAGCCGTCTTTTTGCCAGCACATGACTCACATGTAGAGTCCTGTTATTTCTCGAGGCCTTCATACCATTCATCTTCTGAAAGTCACTCCAACCCTGAGGAGCAAAGGGGAGGGGCACTGGGAAGTCACGCAATGTGTGACTAATGACCCTCCCTCATGGGCCTACGGTGCTCCACACAGCTTGGAAATGCCCTTGGGGTGAGGGCCAAGCTCTGTGCAGCCTTCCCTTCACCCAGGGGATGTGTCTTTGTGTGCTGACATATAGGCACGCATTCACATGCTTCCCATGATCAGCTCGCTTTATTCCCACAAAGACTTGTTTCACCATCAGGCCTATTGAACAGATGAGGGCCCTGAGGCACAGAGAATCTTCAGGACCTGCCCAGGGTCGCACAGCTGGGAAGAGGTGGTCCAACTCCTGAATGTAGGCCCTGCTCTGTGCTTTTGTGCTCTGGAGCCGATTTTGAGAAGCGCTGTGGATCCCAGCCCTAGGGGGAGTAGGGTGGGTGGCAGCAGGTGGTGGAGAGAGTGAACCCTGGGAGTCTGGGCTGTGCCAGCTCTTTGCGGACAGGTTGGGTGAACCAGGCAAGTCATTCCCTACTCAGGCTCCCCGTGGTTCCCATTGGCTGAGGCTGATGATGTGCTGGGCCCTGCCAGACCCTGTCTCTGGACATCTTTTACCCGGACACTGAGGGGCACGTGTATCCTGGGCTCTGTCTCTGTCACTTACTGTAGGCAGCTCTTTGCCTTCTCCGTGCCTTGGTTCTTTCATCTGAAAAGAGAGAATAAAGAAAACCACCCCAAGAGGGTGTTTATTACTAACCCCTCATGGAGGAGTGGACTGTCCAGGGCTCCTGGTTAGCAAGTGCAGAGCTGAGTCTGGGGGACCTGGGTCTGTGTCATCTGAGCCCTGAACCACTCTGAGGGAGCCAGGCACCATGAACGTATAGACAGTGGATGTGCATATTTACTATGATGATTTTCTTTTTTTTTTTTTTAAGATTTTATTTATTTTACATAGAGAGACACAGCGAGAGAGGGAACACAAGCAGGGGGAGTGGGAGAGGGAGAAGCAGGCTTCTCACTGAGCAGGGAGCCCGATGCGGGGTTCGATCCCAGGACCCTGGGCTCATGACCTGAGCTGAAGGCAGATGCTTAACGACCGAGCCACCCAGGCACACCTACTATGATAATTTTCTGACAGATGACAGAGCTTGGGGCTTTTCTCTGAAGTCACTCAAAGGGGCTAGTGCAAGCTTTGGGTCCAGGCCCCTAATTTGACACCCAGGGCAGAGTTCATGGGAGGGAAGGGCCTGGTGGGGGTCATAAGCACCTGCTGACCCTTCCTTTCCCCCCTGCAGTTCTGGGAGGTCATCAGTGATGAGCACGGTATAGACCCCAGTGGCAACTATGTGGGGGACTCAGACCTGCAGCTGGAGCGCATCAGCGTCTACTACAACGAGGCCTCTTGTGAGCTCCCACCCTGCCCCCATGCTTGATCTGGGAGGAGGGAGGAGAGGGCACCTTGACTGCTGGGTCTCAGCATCTCTGCCCTCCTATCAGTTGGTTGGCAGGTGTAACCCAAAATAAAGATGAGGAACCCTAGAAACTGCCACCATAGTGAGATTCAAATATGTGTAATCCTCACATGCATAGTCTAGGGGATGGACAGGGTTGGGCAGGGTCCTGGAGGCTCCTCAGGAAGCCCATGGGAGGGTCCAGAGCGGAGGTCACTTAGCCACTGGTGTAAGATTATGTCCATAGCGAACTGGAGAAATATTAACCTGCCCCCGTGGATGTATTATGTGGTCCTGGCTGTCTAGGGTGTTGACCATGATCCCCATTTCACACGTGGTTCCAGCCTCTCTGACCCCAGAGTCTGAGCGCTTATGGTGACAGCATGACTCTGGCAGGCCAGGGCAGGATTTAGAGGGCAGGAGTAGCCCCTGACCCTCTGTGACCCACATAACCCACCCCTTTCCCCTCAGCTCATAAGTATGTGCCTCGGGCCATTCTGGTGGACCTTGAGCCCGGAACCATGGACAGCGTCCGATCTGGGGCCTTTGGGCACCTTTTCAGGCCTGACAACTTCATCTTCGGTAAGTTTCCCTTGTCCCACACTCTGATGCAGACCCCATCACGGGCAAATCCAGATCAGCAGAAACGACAGGGCAAAGTCACCCCTTAGCAGGACAGAACTGACCTTCCCGTTCTGCATTGGGTAACAGAGGCCCAGAGGAAGGGTTCTGCACAGGGCAGAACAATGTGTGGAACAGAGAATTGAGCTTATAGGACTGTTACAGAGCTGGCAGGACAGGAGTCAGTCTCCAGAGGATTCAAGTTCACGGGCATGCAGCTGTCATCAAGAGGGCATCACCCCATTTCTGTCTTCGGGAATTCAGCACCCCAATTGATGGGCACCAGCCCACATTCAGACCCCAAGCGGCAAGGGATTCTGGGGTTCTGGCGGCTCTAGCTGGCACTTCCAGCATGACCAGCCGGCGGCTGGAGGGTAGGGCTGGTAGACTCACCCAGAACCCCCCCAAGGGAGGCAAAGCCGGGTTCTCAGTTCCTGTCTAGAGCCCTTACTACCCGGCACCAGGCAGTGAGGTCCACCACCCGCAGCATGGCTGGCGTGGAGGGTCATGGAGGGAGTGAGAAGGTGTGGGCACCCTCATTTCACAGAGAGGAGACAGAGCTTCCACAGTTGCTCTCTGGTATGGCCCCTGTTCAGGCAGGCGCTGTAGGTCTGACTAGTCTGCGTCCCCCTCCTGCTGCCCCCGCACCCCCACAGGTCAGAGCGGGGCCGGCAACAACTGGGCCAAGGGTCACTACACGGAGGGTGCTGAGCTGGTGGACTCCGTCCTGGACGTGGTGCGGAAGGAGTGTGAGAATTGCGACTGCCTGCAGGGCTTCCAGCTGACCCACTCTCTCGGCGGGGGCACGGGCTCGGGCATGGGCACGCTGCTCATTAGCAAGGTGCGTGAGGAGTACCCTGACCGCATCATGAACACCTTCAGCGTGGTGCCCTCGCCCAAGGTGTCGGACACAGTGGTGGAGCCCTACAACGCCACCCTGTCCATCCACCAGCTGGTGGAGAACACGGACGAGACCTACTGCATCGACAACGAGGCCCTGTACGACATCTGCTTCCGCACGCTCAAGCTGGCCACTCCCACCTACGGAGACCTCAACCACCTGGTGTCGGCCACCATGAGCGGCGTCACCACTTCCCTCCGCTTCCCGGGCCAGCTCAACGCCGACCTGCGCAAGCTGGCCGTGAACATGGTGCCCTTCCCGCGCCTGCACTTCTTCATGCCCGGCTTCGCGCCGCTCACGGCCCGCGGCAGCCAGCAGTACCGCGCGCTCACCGTGCCCGAGCTCACGCAGCAGATGTTCGACGCCAAGAACATGATGGCCGCCTGCGACCCGCGCCACGGCCGCTACCTGACGGTGGCCACCGTGTTCCGTGGGCGCATGTCCATGAAGGAGGTGGACGAGCAGATGCTGGCCATCCAGAGCAAGAACAGCAGCTACTTCGTGGAGTGGATCCCCAACAACGTGAAGGTGGCCGTGTGCGACATCCCACCCCGGGGGCTCAAGATGTCCTCCACCTTCATCGGCAACAGCACGGCCATCCAGGAGCTGTTCAAGCGCATCTCGGAGCAGTTCACCGCCATGTTCCGGCGCAAGGCCTTCCTCCACTGGTACACGGGCGAGGGCATGGACGAGATGGAGTTCACCGAGGCCGAGAGCAACATGAACGACCTGGTGTCCGAGTACCAGCAGTACCAGGACGCCACGGCCGAGGAGGAGGGCGAGATGTACGAAGACGACGAGGAGGAGTCCGAGGCTCAGGGCCCCAAATGAAGCCGCTGGAGGGGCGGAGCCAGGATGCGGCTGTGGCCAGGAGGCCTGTCCCCCAGAGCCCCGTCGCCATTGACACCGCCCCCAGCCTTGCCCCCGCCAGCTCCGGCCATGGCACCCCAGGGCTCCCGAGTGCTTGTCCTCCAGTATTTACGGCATCCCCACCCCACGTGAGTCCTGTCTTCCCTCCATGGGTCGGGTCCACTTCTGTGTCTGCTTTATTGTCAGCTCCAGGCCTGTTTTATGGTTTGTTGTGTTTTCTTTTGTTTTTTTACGGTTTGTGTTTATATTTTGAGGGGGGATACTTAATAAATCTATTGCTGTCAGATATCCCTGCCTGGTGCTGGAGATTTCTTTTTATTCTGGAAAGTTGGGTCCAGAGGGGTGAGGAGGGACAGACAAGGAGGCCCTGGGAGTGGGGTGAGGGGGAGGAAGGGTCACTGTCTCCCAGGCTGGTGGCTGTGCTTGAAGCCTGTGGGTTCTGAAGGCACAGCTGCTGGGAGCTTCCGGAAGTGGGGTCCTGGGGTTGGGCCATGCCCAGATGAAGCCTCATCCCAGAACCACAGGTGCAGCTCGCCCTGGACTTGAGAACTATCCCTGTCCCCTACAGGGAGACCCGCTCCAGAGCTTTCCTCTGGCAGGCCGCTGGAGACCCTAAGGAGAGGTGGGAAGGGAGGACCTTGAACCCTCCGCAGAGAAGTGTGGCGTGTGGGAGAGTGGAGTCTTGGGCCCTGAGAAGGGGCTGGTGGGGGTTAGTGGGCTGTGGCCCACGGTGGCAGGCACACCCCAGGACGCCCTGGCGGGGAGCTGTGTGCTGGCCCCACGCGCCCCCTGGTGGCCTTCCTGTGTCCGACTGCACGGGCGCCTGGAAGGGGCCCACCACTAGCGTGGATGGAGGGCGACTGGGCCCCAGACTTCCCACACCCCACCCCTCGAAGCCAGGGCTTTCATCCAGCCTAGCCCCACCTGGGACATCAAAGCGGCTTCAGTGCAGGCGGCACCCTGGCACCCAGCCTTCTGTGCAGAAGAAGGAAAGCCAAGGAGACCGCTGGCCCTGAGGTAGACTAGGAAACTGAAGCCCCCAAAAGGGTCCAAGTCTCGGGCTCTCGCCCTGACACAGGCTGGGCTTTGGGGTCTTTGGGGCCCCCTGAGCAGCGGAGAAGCACGTCCTAAAAGCCAGCGCTTCTGGGCACCTGCTCTGTGCCTGGCCACACTTGCTCCCCACCTTCAGATCTGTGTCCCTCCACCCCACACATGCAGTGACCGACGAGGCCACATGGTGAGTGGGGGGTTGCGCCCTGCTCTGGGCCGCAGCAGCGGGGTCCCCCCCTCCACCAGGGCCTCGCAGGGCTGCTGTCCTCCACACAGTGCAGGCCGTGGTGCCCACAGCTCAGGTTCTCAAGGCTTTCGGGCCCCAAGAGAGTTGAGACACCTGCCCAGTGTTGACCAAGGTCCGTCTGGCCCTTGACATTCACAGATGCTCCTACCGGGCCCCAGGTCCACTGTCTTACTGCGTGGCGCCTGGAAGGGGCCCACCACTAGCGTGGATAGAGCTGCCTTCTCCTGAGAGCTCAACACGTACATCTCGCTTAACCTTCACAATGATGCCACGAGGTACACATCTCATAGGCAAAGAAATGGAGGCTCAGAGAAGTGAGGGCATTTTCCAGCTGACAAGTGGCAGAGCCTGGTGTCCGGCCTGGGCTATGCACCTCTCCATTTGGCTGAAAATGGCCAAAAATTGTACTTCCCTTCTGAGCACTGGCACCCACCAGAACTCAGATGAGCCTGGCCTCCCTGGGCCACCCTGCCTTTGTGGAGTTGGCTGTCAGGCCAATCCCTTCCTTCCTCCTCCCAAGGCCCACAGCCCAACTTAATACAAGTGTGTGGTGTGCATTTTGGTGGGGACTGTGTTGGTGGTGATGTGGGGAGGTGAAGGAGAGGGACCCCAGCGCCTCCAGCCCCCCAGCCCATCTCTCCTGCTCCCCAGAGCTCATCTCTGCTGCCCCCCAGCCCATCTCTCCTGCTCCCCAGAGCTCATCTCTGCTGCCCCCCACAGTTCTTCTGTAGCAGGGGCCTCATGCTTTCTTTCCCAGCCTACCCCCCTCTCTGCCAGCTGGTTTTCCCTTATGAGCCTCCAGCTTTACTTTCTTATGAGGAGTAACTTAGGTCTTTGCTGTTTTCCACCAGTGTATCTTCACTCCTCATTCCTTCCATCTCAGACACCGGAGGGGCAGACCCAAGTCAGCCCTGTGCTCTACATGGGTTCCAGATCCCCAGTATCCCTAAGCAAAATGAAATGACCGCTGCTTTATGCCATTGAATTTCAGAGTGGTTTGTTATGCAGCAACTGAAAATAGAAATACACATGGGGAGTGGCTAGAACAGCATGTGACCCATAATAAAGGCCATAAATATTTGCTCTTAAATGGATCCGTTATTATTAGTAGAGGGAATTTGTTTGCAGAGATGCATGGGCATGAGGGCATAGGAGAGGCCAGCTCAGTGGCTGCTCAGTCTTGCTTGAACCTCCTAACAGGGCTGATTGGCTCAGCACCATCCAGTGTGGACAACCCTTTTGGCTGGCATTCAGGACAGCCACTTCATTGGCTGCTTCACCCCCTGCTCCACCTATCCATTTCAGCCTAGGTGAAGGGCCAGGGGTGTCCAGACCTGGGCACACTCCCAGCCTTCATGGGGGAGAGGACTCACCCCTTCCTGACCCTCTGCCTGGTCCACTGCCGGCGGTACTCAGGGACTAGGAGATGATTTCATGCTCAGGTAGGGCTGCCAGAGCAAATACAGGATGCCCAGTTAAATTGAAAGTTCAGATAAGCGACAAATAATGTTCCACTAGGGGGCATGATTATAGTAAGCAATTATGCTTCCGTTGCTAAATCCAGTAATCCTAGCCTAGTGCCCTCTAGCAGCCCTGCAGCTGGGCCTTTTCTGTGGGCCAGTTGGTTTCTAGCTCTTCACCCACTTGCTTGCTCCTTATGTGACCCTAGGAAGCAGGAGCTTACAGATGAAGAAACTGAGGCAGGAGACAAGTGAAACTGCCCCAGGGTGTCCAGCTGCCAGTGGTAGGGCTACAGTTTGAATGGAAGAGGTTGGGGGCTGAACTGCCAGTATTCCACCACCCCTTGGGGTTTTGAGTTTGAGCCCCACTCTGGGTGTAGAGATTACTAAAATAAATAAATAAATAAATAAATAAATAAATAAATAAATAAAACAAATAAACTTTTTTTTTTAAAGATTTTATTTATTTATTCATGAGAGACAGAGAGAGGGAGAGAGAGAGAGAGAGAAGCAGGCTCCCAAGGATCAGGGAGCCCGATGCGGGACTCGATCCCAGGACTCCGGGATCCTGACCTGAGCCGAAGGCAGACGTTTAACCATCTGAGCCACCCAGGCGCCCCAAATAAACAAACTTTTAAGAAAGATGCTCAATGTTACTAATCATCAGGGAAATGCAAATCAAAACCACAATGAAATACCATTTCATACCTGTTAGGATGGCTGTTACCAGAAAAATAAAAGACAACAAGTGTTGGTAATGATGTGGAGAAACTGGAACCTTTGCACATTGTTTATGGGAACGCAAAATGTGCAGCCACTATGGAGAGCTTTATGGAGGTTACTTAAAAAAATTAAAAACAGAGCTATCATTTGATCCAAAAATCCCCCTTCTGGCTTTTTATCTAAAATAATTGAAATCAAGGGCGCCTGGGCAGCTCAGTCAGTTAAGCGTCTGACTTCGGCTCGGGTCAAGATCCCAGGGTCCTGGGATCGAGTCCCGCATCGGGCTCCCTGCTCAGTGGGGAGTCCGCCTCTCCCTCTCCCTCTGCTGCTCCCCCTGCTTGTGCTCTCTCTGTCTCTGTCAAATACATAAATAAAATCTTTAAAAAATAATAAAAAATAAAATAAATGACATCAGGATCTCAAAGAGATATTAGCACTTCCATGTGCCTTGCAGCACTATTCACAATAGCCAAGATATGGAAACAAACCAAATGTTTGTTGACAGATAAATGGATAAAGAATATTTGGTATATACAGTGGAATACTATCAGCCTTACGAAAGAAGGAAATCCCACAATATGAAACAGCATGGATGAACCTTGAGGACATTATGCTAAATGAAATAAGCCAGACTCAGAAAGACAAACACTGGATGATAACACTCATGAGTTATCCAAAATAGTCAAACTCATAGAAGCAAAGAGCAGAACGGTGGTTTCCAGGGACCGGAGGCAGGGAGGAACTGCTAATCAAATAGAACAGTTTGAGTTATGCAAGATGAATAAGTTCTAGAGAGCTGCTATACAATCTGTGCCCATAGTTAACAATGCTATATGGTATACTTAAAAATCTGTTAAGAGGGCGCCTGGGTGGCTCAGTCGTTAAGCGTCTGCCTTCAGCTCAGGTCATGATCCCAGGGTCCTGGGATCGAGTCCCACATCGGGCTCCCTCCTCGAGGGGAAGCCTGCTTCTCCCTCTCCCACTCCTGCTGCTTGTGTTCCTGCTCTCACTATCTCTGTCTCTGTCAAAAAAAAAAAAAAATCTGTTAAGAGGGTAGACCTCATGTTAAGTGTACTTAACACAATAAAAAAAAATTTTAAATAAAAAAAAATAATGCCACTACTCTGCTCAAAATCCTCCAGTGGAGAGACTGACGATGACATCAAATGTTTGTGAGGACATGGAGGGGCCGGAATGTTGACACTAATGGGAATGTTAAACAGCGCAACCACGATGGGAAAAAGTTTTAGATTCCTAGAAAGTTAAACACACACTTACCATATAATCCAGCCATTCCACTCCTGAGTATTTACCAAGGAGAAATTAAAGTGTATTTCCAGGGGCGCCTGGGTGGCTTAGTTGGTTAAGCAACTGCCTTCAGCTCAGGTCATGATCCCGGAGTCCTGGGATCGAGTCCCACATCGGGCTCCTGGCTCGGCGGGGAGCCTGCTTCTCCCTCTGACCCTATCCCCTCTCATGCTGTCTCTCTCTCTCTCTCTCAAATAAATAAATAAAATCTTTTAAAAAAATAAATAAATAAATAAAGTGTATTTCCACACAGAATTATACGCAAATGTTTATAGCGGCTTTCTTTGTACAGCAAACACTGACAACAGCACAGATGTTCATCAACAGGTGATAAACCAACTGTGGTCCATCCACTCCGTGGAATCCTACTCAGCAATGAGAATAAGCTGACACCTGACACCTGCTACAGATAGAGTCTCAAAATATTATTCTGAGTAAAAGAAGCCAAACAAAAGAAGAGTATATACGATAAGATCCCATCTCTATAAAACTCT